CCCCCCCCCTCCTAGATCACTTTGGTAAATAATACAAATGAGTTTAACACTTTTCTTAAAAATTAATTTTTTTATCCAAGATAGAAAAAAATTTCTTTAACTTTCCTAAATTCTTGAAGAAAAAAAATAATCTTTGGAAGATAATTTATTGTATAATGTATTCTTCTAAAACTGTAGATATTTAATCTAAGAAAACCCATGTTTTTTGGGACACCCTCTAGTTAAAAGAATTATAAGAAGGAAAAATGACGAACAAATACTGCCTTCGAATTCATTAATATCATATTTCCTTCAAATTACTTAAAAAAGGAGTACATACAAACGATTAATAATCAAATTAAAAGCATTGTTTAATCAAAATCTCAGTGGAGGGCCAATGTACCCACGCCTCCCCCTTATGAGTTTATACCCTGTATCTTGCTGGCAAAAAATACTGGGAAGACGACATTACCCCACTGCGTGTACTACTAAATTTGAAGCAAGGTTGTATAATAAGGTTGGTTACTCTCTATGCGCTCTAATGTACGGAAAATGTCGTCTCCTTAGATAGATAGATAACAACCTCACCCTCGGCGAGAGTGACGTTAAATGAGGTTTTTATCTACCTAGAAGACGACATTTGTCGTACATTGGAGCGCATCGAGATTCGGGAGTAATTAACCAACTTGCAATTTGAAGCCATTCAAATTAAATAATTCTCTAGAAATGGGCAGACATAAGAGTTTTTTTATTACTTTTTTATACTTATTCTTGCAGAAAATACTAAGGTTTTCGAGTATTATGTGAGTATTTATCTAGATAATCTATTATAATATGGGACTCATCTGACGCTCTGTTTTATAGTACTTCCTTAACAAAATAATCATAAAATACATCACATAGTCATTGTCAATTGTTGGGTATCGAAATTGTATTGGTGCTTTACGGAGATTTGAGAACTGATTGTTCCGATTAAAATTCATTGAATAAAATCAAATTATCTTATATTTTTGAATTTGTTAAAAGATACAATGTAAATACAGTAATTTAGTAAATTTTGGTAAAGTTGTCCCCAGTGCAACTTGCTTTTAATACATATCACGTTAATTAAATAGTTGCGTAAGATCAAAAACAATCTTTAACCATAGATAAATAAATAAACATAGATAGCTTATGTACGCAAAATCTCCAAGAATTGTACAGTCCGCGAACTCATACTTCTAGGGGTCAAAATGTACTTCAATGATAAGCGGGGTGGTTTGGTGTTTTAATGGATTTCATAAAATAACTCCGGGAATGGAACTATTTAAACAACAATATTTCACTGAGCAATATATCATATTGACGAGAACTAAAGAAGGACATAAGAAGGACTAAACTAACTTAAATTTCTCTCTACAGAACTCATGTACACCACAAGTACTCAATGACATAAGAACAGCCAATGTT